AACCAGCGCCCATGTGGGATGCCAGCACTGCAAGCGGCAGCTTTACTCACTACGCCACCACATTGGCTCTTGATCCACTTTTTAAAATCAGGTTTTTTTGAAAATAAAATTCCTGTGGCGGGTGCTGTAGTATAGTAGGCTACACCTCTGCCTGTGGCGCCAGCATCCCATATGGGCACCAGTTCATGTCCCGGCTGCTCCTCTTCCAATCCAGCTCTCTGCTGTGGCCTGGGAAAGCAATGGAAGGTGGCCCAAGTCCTTGGGCCCCTGCACCCGCATGGGAGACCTAGAAGAAGCATATGGCCCAGCTCTGGCCATTGTGGGCATTTGGGGAGTGAACAAGTGGATGGAAGAGATTTCTCTCTGTCTCCCTCTGTCTGTAACTCTGTCTTTCAAATAAATTAATTAAATCTTTTTTAAAATGTTTTTTAGATTTATTTATTTGAAAGTCAGAGTTAGACAGAGAGGGAAGGAGAGGCAGAAAGAGAGAGAGAGAGGGAGGGAGGTCTTCCATCCGCTGGTTCACTCCCCAATTGGCCGCAACGGCCAGAGCTGGGCTGATCTGAAGCCAGGAGCCAGGATCAGAGAGGAGCAGCCAGGACTTGAACTGGCGCCCATATTGTGCACCGGCACTGCAGGCGGTGGCTTTACCCGCTACGCCACAGCACTGGCCGCTAAATCTTTAAAATATATATATATATAAATCAATAAAATCCCGTCTGCTTTCCACCCATTGTCCACCACTGGGCGCTCTCTGTGTTTGAAAGGGCCTCACACTGGCTGCATTACCCGCTGCCCTGCTCTTGAAATCCTTAACAACCTTTGACTGAAGGACCCTGCCTGTCCACGCCACACCAGGTCCTGCAGATCACGCACTGAGTCCCAGGCAAGAGGCCCCAGCCCATCAGCTACGTGCTGTGAGGTGCTGGTGGCCAGCGCTGTGCCGGGGCGGGGCAGGCAGGGTGCTCCTGTGGCCCTGATGAGTCAAAGGCTCAGGCTCCCTAGATGCAGCCCATCCCCATTCCTATCTGCATCTGGCTGCGCAGGTAAATTGAGGCAGTTACAGAGTCCAGGGTTCACGACCAGCATCTGCACCCCACCCTCCTCTGTCAGCCTTGACCTCACTGATCTGAACGATAGGAAGAGGGCCGTGTGCAAAGGCAGCTCATGACTTTGCCAGTGTGGGGACCACACTGGCAGGAGGAGTGACCACCCGTGTCTGCTTGCCGTGCCCTGGTCCCCACCAGGCAGGCACTTGTCACCTTTTTGCTGGGTGTTTTGTTTGGGGGCTGGTTCCCTCCATCTGGGCCAAAAACAGCAATGGGTTGGGCTTGGTGAGACCAAAAGAGTTCATCTGGATCCCAGAAGTCGGGGTTGCAGGTTAGAGCGGGCCGGCAAGGCAGCTGCCGCCCCCACTGGGGGGTCCTGGAGAGGGTGGGTGGGGTGGGGGCACCGGATAGGGATAGGAAGCAGGAGCCGCAGGGGTCACCATGGGTCTGTCCATTCTGCTGTAAGTCACAGCGAAGCCCTCACCCCCAGCCCCTCAGAACACAACCTAATATTTGCACATTCGGTCTTTGCAAGTGATGGAGTTAAACTGGGGTCATCAGCCTGGGCCCTAATCCAACATGATAAGTATCCCTATAAAAAAGAAAAATCCGGGCTGGCGCCATGGCTCAATAGGCTAATCCTCCACCTTGCGGCGCCAGCACACCGGGTTCTAGTCCCGGTAGGGGCGCCGGATTCTGTCCCGGTTGCCCCTCTTCCAGGCCAGCTCTCTGCTGTGGCCAGGGAGTGCAGTGGAGGATGGCCCAGGTGCTTGGGCCCTGCACCCCATGGGAGACCAGGAGAAGCACCTGGCTCCTGCCTTCGGATCAGCGCGATGCGCCGGCAGCAGCGTGCAGGCCGCAGCTGCCATTGGAGGGTAAAGCAACAGCAAAAGGAAGACCTTTCTCTCTGTCTCTCTCTCTCACTGTCCACTCTGCCTGTCAAAAAAAAAAAAGAAAGAAAGAAAGAAAAAACCTGGCCGGTATCCTGGCACAGCTGGTTAAGCTGCCACCTGTGACACCAGCGTCCCTTATGAGCACAGGTTTAAGTCCCGGCTGCTCCACTTCCAACCCAGTGCCCTGCTAATGCGCCTGGGAAAGCAGCAGAAGGTGACATGAGTGCTTGGGCCCTGCCACCCACGTGGGAGACCCGGATGAAACTCTGGCTCTTGTGGCCATTTGGGGAGTGAACCAGCAGATGGAAGATAGTCCTCTCTCTCCCTCTCTCTCTCTCTCTGTCATTCCACCTTTCAAATAAACAAATTAATCTTTCTGAACAATTTTTTTAAAAATTAAAAGGAGAAATCTGGACCTGGCCGGCCACGGACACGGGGAGAACAGTCCACGGAAAGATGAAGGAATCATGAAGAAGCAGTGGTGACCATCTCCAAGCCACGGAACGCCAGACGCAGCCTAGCCTGGGACTGGTCCCTCCCTGCCGCCCTCGGAGGGTGCGTGGCCTGGCTACCACCTCAATTTTGGACTTGCAGCCTCCGGAGCTGTGAGAGGGGCTGCGTCGCTGCTGCTCCAAGCCACCCAGGTCATGGTCCTCTGTGACAGTGGCTGCCCGGTCTCCTGGGTGAGTTTTGGAGGGGGCAGGGGAAGGGGAGAGCGGTGGGAGCTACTGCAGGGCCGTGGGGGGCTCCTCGTGGCCTTGGCATGGGAGTTGGGCCAGGGAGGCTTTTGGAGGGGTGGTGCTTAGACCCTCAGGAGGAAGACCAGAGTTGGATGGTGGTAGAAAGAGGGGTGAAGCCAGGACAGGATGGGAGGGGAGGTGGAAAGGGTTGGGGGTGCGTGCCGTGGACAGGTGACTGAGCCTAGACCGTGCCACACTCATGTGCTGGGTGTGGACACCTCCACAGGGCACCTGCTGAGGCAGGACAGGGTTGGGCGCATGCAGAGAACTTGGTGTCTCATTAATAGCAATACTCCCTGGTGTGCCTGCTGGGAGGCCAGCAAGGTCACTGGTTTTATTTTCTGGGCCCACACCCTGTCCTGGCGGCCTCTGGCTGAGGCAGGGTGGTGCCCTGGGTCCCTAGAGAGCAGACATCGTGTCTTGGGGCATGCAGGGTGGGGGGCAGCAGTCAGAGAGGGGAGACCGCGGAACGCTGGATGGCAGGGACAGAGTCTGAAAGCTCTCATTTTACAGAGGGGAAGACTGAGGCCAGGGAGGGACAAGTTCCAGCATGCAGCCCGTGGGGAGAGGCCAAGGATGAGGTGGGGAGAGGACAGAGCCAGGAGAGGGAGCAGGGAAAACCCTGCCCTGCCAGCGTCCCCAGTGCCACCGTTAGGGGCTCCAGGCTCTAGGAGCACGCTCAGGCGTAGTGCCCCACACACGGCCCAGGTCCCCAGCAGAGGAGAGCTGGCAGGGGCTGGGAGCCCTCACCACTCCTGCACCCCCATGAGCTCAGAGCAGGACAAAGTCCAGGGCAGGCCTGTGTGGGTGACATCCAAAGAGCTGGTCTCCGCTGCAGGCACCAAGCCCCCTTCCTCCCCGCAAGGCCATCCCAGTGACATCACAAGCCCCTGCTTTCAATTTCTGCTTGTGTTTTCCTTCCTCCTTCTCTGGGAACAGGCGAAGGGCAGAAGGAGATCCTCAGGGACCTGCCGGGACCCACTGTCCTCCCTGACCAACTTGAGCATGATCCCCACGGCCAAGGCAGCTTAGCTGTTGGAACGATCCTTACAAGTCCAGAATCTGCTCTCTTCTGGGGGGAAACAGAGGCCAGCGATGACCAGAGTGGCCCCATGATGCCAGCTGGCTCGTGGCCCCTGAAATCTTGCCCTGTGCCCCATCGGCTATGGTGGGGCTCCTCTCCTGGTTCTGGAACCCCTGCCAGCCACGTGCCATTGTGGGGGAGCAAGGCAGGAGTGGGACCATCACAGGTGCCCAGGGCACGAGTTGGATGGGACAGTGCTTCAAGGCCTGTGTCCCGTGTCCTGTTAGGAGGAGCCTGGGCATTCGGTGCCCAGAGGGGCCACATAGGGACATCCTCTGGGAGAGGCCGGTGCTAATGCCACCGGGCATCCGTCTGTGCCAGGCACGGTGCCTGAGGGCTTGCTTAATCCTCACAAAGCCTGGCGCGCCAGCATTGTGAATCCTGTCTGTGCAGGAGGTGGAGGCTCAGACAGGCTGACATGGCCAAGGGGCCAACACCCTGGCTCTCCCCCCAGAGCTCCCCTCGGAGGGGCCAGAAGTTCAAGGAGCATCGAAGGCTAAGCTCCAGGCAGGAGCACCCCAGACCTGGGCCCCGGGCGGCAGCCTTGCCTTGGGCCTGGGCAGGGGCTGGAGAAAGAGGGCAGCAGGGGGCTCGGGGCTCACTCACCCTGCTCAGCAGCTGCACAGGGGTCCAGGAGCTGTGGGACGAGGGCCAGCAGGCAGAGCGCCGCCGTGGCCGCCAGCCTCAACCTTGCCATCAGAGCGGGGAAGGCTGCTCACTCTCAGGGCCACTTGCAAAATGAACCGCAGCCAAGCAGCCCCAGGAATAAATGAGCCCCAGAGACCTTTGTACCCCCCAGGGCACTGAGAGTCTGGGGGCCAAACTCAACCTGAGTCAGTCTGTGATTGGGGTACAGGGGCAAAGGGCAGAGGGAGGATCCCCTCCCTGGCTGGATTGCTCACAGGCAATCAATCAGACTCATGGCACAAACAGAGGGGTGCCCCCCTCAAGCAGCCAGGGAGAGCAGAGGAACAGACCCCAGGAGCAGAGGGCGGGTTCGGGAGGGGCCAGGCCAAGCAGGTGCGTCTGTCAAGGACAGCCCCCCTTTCCCTCTTCTGAAGCCCCTTTGAAGGCTGCCCTTTTGGGTGCCCCAGCAGGAGACAGGGTGTAAGTCATGGCCAAACCTGGGTCAGCGCCCAGCCCGGGGGTGGCCGTGGGGGTTCTTGGATCTGTGGGTTCAGAAGTGAGCAAGGGACACCCTGGCGTCTGGAGTGACGCTGCTGCCACCTAAGGTCAGCGGAGCCCAGTCGCCCCTCCTCGGCTCCTGGGGGCTCCCACCCAAATTCCTGGGTGGAGCAGACAGGGGATGCCGTGTCTGGGCCCAGGAAGGTTGGACACCCATCGCGGGAAGGACTGTTCTCTCCTTGCACCACCCCCCCAGAAGGAAACCACTTGTATCACACTCTGCTTTTGAAAAATTGCTTTTATTGATGGGGAAATTCCAGAGTGGGGAGTCACCTGGCACAGACAGGGTTCCTGAAGTGTCTGCGGGCCTGGGGGCTCCTGGGAGCTGGGGACCAAAGCCTTGGGGCTTGCAGCCCCCAGCAGGTGCGCCCACCAGAACCCGCCTGGCCTCGCTTTGCCCCTGCCAATCAGGGCCTGTGGCGGGGCTGCCTCTGTGTGCTGCTTTCTGGTCCAGAGCCGGGCGTGGGGTGTCCCTGTCCCTCTCAGGGGACCCCTGTCACCACCTCAGGCCTCTGAATGTGGAGCTGCGGGAGAGAGGAGGAAGAGGTGAGGATGGGGGCAGTCCATGGCAGCCCCAGGAGCGGGCTGGGGACCAGGGGTGGGGGAGCCCCAGGGGCAGGCTGGGGACCAGGGGTGGGGGAGCCCCAGGGGCAGGCTGGGGGCCAGGGGTGGGGGAGCCCCAGGGGTGGGCTGGGGGCCAGGGGTGGGGGGAGCCCCAGGGGTGGGCTGAGGGCCAGGGGTGGGGGAGCCCCAGGGGTGGGCTGGGGGCCAGGGGTGGCGGAGCCCCAGGGGTGGGCTGGGGGCCAAGGGTGGGCTGAGGGCCAGGGGTGGGATGGGGGCCCAGGGGTGGGCTGAGGGCCAGGGGTGGGATGGGGGCCAGGGGTGGGGGGAGCCCCAGGGGTGGCTGAGGGCCAGGGGTGGGGGAGCCCCAGGGGCGGGCTGGGGGTCAGGGGTGGGGGGAGCCCCAGGGGTGGGCTGAGGGCCAGGGGTGGGGGAGCCCCAGGGGTGAGCTGGGGGCCAAGGGTGGGGGGAGCCCCAGGGGTGGGATGGGGGCCCAGGGGTGGGCTGAGGGCCAGGGGCAGGGGAGCCCCAGGGGCGGGCTAGGAGCCAGGGGTGGGGGAGCCCCAGGGGTGGGCTGAGGGCCAAGGGTGGAGGGAGCCCCAGGGGTGGGCTAGGAGCCAGGGGTGGGGGAGCCCCAGGGGTGGGCTGGGGGTCAGGGGTGGGGGGAGCCCCAGGGGTGGGCTGGGGGTCAGGGGTGGGGGAGCCCTAGGGGTGGGCTGGGGGCCAGGGGTGGGGGAGCCCCAGGGGTGGGATGGGGGCCAGGGGTAGGGGGAGCCCCAGGGGTGGGCTGGGGGCCAGGGGTGGGAGAGCCCCAGGGGTGGGGGAGCCCCAGGGGCGGGCTGGGGGCCCAGGGGCAGGCTGGGGGCCAGGGGTGGGGGAGCCCCAGGGGTGGGCTGAGGGTCCAGGGGTGGGCTGGGGGCCTGGGGTGGGGGAGCCCCAGGGGTGGGCTGGGGGCCCAGGGGCGGGCTGGGGCCCAGGGGTGGGGGAGCCCCAGGGGTGGGCTGAGGGTCCAGGGGTGGGCTGGGGGCCTGGGGTGGGCTGAGGGCCTGGGGTGGGCACTGCTGGCTGACTCACCTCTGAGGTGGGGCTTACACTCCCCAGGGAGGGCCGGAAGTAGCTGTAGACGTTCTCGCGGCCGTATTTGTCCCCCTGCAGATTCTTGTCTGGGAGGGAAGAGGGAGAGGGAGAGGATGCGGGGGTCCCGGGTCTGCCGAGCCAGTCCAGCACCCACCCTGAACAGCCCTGCATGCCCTTGGCTCCTTTTGGGGGCGCTTGGCAGCTCTGGGACAGGCCCAGGCCCAGTGGGACCCAGGAGACGGCAGGGAAGTGCAGCCACAGCCCATCCCCCACCCCCACGGTCAGACAGCTCAGCCAGGGACAGCATAGGCCCTGGCCTTGGCGAGGGGTGACGAGGCCAGGTGGGGCAGCTGGCAGTGTGCACCCCATGTCATAGCAACAGTAACCACAGCGGCCAGAGAAACCTTCCTCTTTCCTCTGTCCCCACCTTCCTGGGCAGCAGCACCCTCCCAGTCCACCCTCCAGACCCTGGCCCCACCTGCCCTGCCGGGCGGCTCCCAACCTCCCCGCCCCCTTCTCACTCTGCGTCCTCTCCACCCACCGTGAGTGGGAAGGAGCCCCCCAGCACCCCATCTGCTTCCCAATTCAGAGCGCCCCGCCCCCGCTGCTTCTCCTCGCGTGTCTCAGACACGCCCGGGGACCCTCCTCCACGTCTCCCTTCCCCAGGCTCACCTGGCTGCCCCTCACCTGTGCTGCCCTCTCCAGCCCACTTAGAAGGCCCAGTGGGTGACACCTCGTGTGCCCTGCTCCCTGTTCCCGGGTAAGACTGGCCGGCCTTTACCTGCCCCACAGGCCTGGCCCTGTCCTACCTGTGTGCCTTTCTCACCAGGGTCTCCTGCTGGGGAAACCCTTACCCGGTCCCCGGGGTGGGGGCACAGGGGGGACAAGTCCTCCCTCTTTCTCAGGCGGAGCAGGCTTCTTAATCACTAGCTGGTGGACTCAGACACAGCTAGGGGACACCTGCCGGTCCCCACCCAACCCCGGCTGGGCCAGGCCATCCCCCCCTGCGCTCCCGTCAAAGCCCTGTCACCCCTCAGCTCAGCAGGTGCCTGACACCCTCCCGGGAGAGGCCTGCCTGTGGGGCAGGAGCTGGTGCCCAGTAGGGTGGGCACATGATGACAGCAATAACTAGGAAGGGGGCAGCAGGGTTTGCTCAGGGGTGGGCTTGCAGGGGGATGGGGAGGTTTGTGTGGACAGAGATCCATGCAGAGCCGGAGCCACCACCACTCCCCTGGGGCACCCAGGGAACCTTCCAGGCAAGGAGCCAGGAAAACAGTGGGTGTGGCCGGGCCCAAGTGCCCAGCACGTGGCCAGGAGTCCTGAGAGAGAATCTCGCGGGGTCAGAGGGGAGGGGGGCGATTGGGAGGCTGCAGAGGAGGTGCGGGGACCCCAAGGGAGGAGCAGCGGTGGGACGGGCCATCCCCACTGCCCCAGGGCCCAGGCTCCCCGGTCCCCGCTCAGCCCGCCCCACCCCGCGGTACCTTCCCAGAAGCCCATATTCTGGAATGTGCCGGGGATGCCTTCCTTCTGCCACTCTTGAGACACGTCGTACTCTTGCCTGGCAACAGAAGCGCAGCCGTGAGCAGCCCATGGGGTGGGAGGGGCCGGAGGGGCCCTGAGCCTCAGCTTCCCTGCAGGGGGCCGTCCTGGCCGCAGCTCTGAGTCAGGGCCAGCCTTGCATCCCCCACAGTGACAGAGACGGAAGAGCAAAGTCACCAGCGCCCCCCACACACACACCTGCCTCGGGCCCTGGCCGGGCTTCCCAGCTGCTCCCCTGAGTGGGCCTCAGTTTCCCTATCTGTGAGATGGGGGCCTTGGACTCAGCCAGGGCAACTCCTCCACCTGCTGGCCCCAGGTCCCCTTTTACTGCTGGGGAAAGTGGGGCCCCAGTGGCTCATCCCAGCTTCCCAGTGTGTGGTTTCCTTCTGTGACAGCTCAGGTGAGAGCCAGCCACAGGTGATTTTATTCCTCAATCTCCATAGATAAGCTTCCGTACCCATTTCTCTGCCAAACAGATGGGTCCAGTCCTACCCTGAGGCTGCTCCCTGCTGTGCCCAGGGCTGGGACCAGCCAGGCACCCCCTCTGGCCTCAGCCGATTTTGCCTGGCGGGCTGGGTGTTGAGTTGGGGACATTCAGACCCCGGCGGCTGCCCGGGGGCCCTGCTCTGCGTCTCTCTGGGCCCTTGGTGCCGGCCCCACCGGTTCACCTGTGCAGTTTCCGCTGCGATCGGCCGAGGAAGATGATCAAGACGACCACCAGCAGCAGCAGTACGGCCAGCACGCTGCCCACAAGGCCGTACACGAGGCTCTTGTTGGTGCTGTGCTCGCAGGTCTCTCCCCAGTACCAGTGCGTGTCCGTGTTGGGGCACCTGGGGACACACACAGGCTCAGGCCCCAGCCCATAGCCAGCACAGACTCCCCAAAATCAACACGCAAGCAAAGCCAGGAAACCAGCTCTCCCTCCCTCCCAGAGATGGCAAGTGCTGGGTGGCCGGGAGCCTGGGTCCCCAACTCCCTGAGGCTGATGAGCAGGCAGAGGGCGGGGGACTCAGGGATCGGGGGTGCCAGGGCTCAGAGGGAGCCCAGGAGTGCTGGGGCGTCGTCTCGGACACGTGATGTCATGTTTACCCATCTAGTCTCAAATCAGCTGGGACCGTGGTGAACCTGTTATCACATTTTATGTTGCACTGTAATATACGGCCATGTGAACTTAGGTACAGATAGAGGCGATAACAGCTGAGTAACTGAGATGACATAAGGGAAATTAATGAGAGGGAGAGGGAGAGGGAGAGGGAGAGAGGGAGAGGGAGAGGGAGAGGAGGACAAGAGAGGGTGCAGCTCAGAAGTTGTTAACTTCAGCTCTCCCAGGAAGTGACTTTAGCAGCCTGGGGTATCTATATCTCTAATGTGTGCCTGTCCTCAACTCTCACAGGGCCGTGGGGTATTGGGGGACTGGAGGAGTCCCAGATACAGAGAAGAGGAATGTAGAAGGGGAGGGGGCAGGTGACATCCACGCTCTGCCCTCCCCGACCCTGCCCCCATGGGTGACAGTGAGGGCTGGGGCAGAGCCTCCCGGGGCGGGGCACTCACAGACAGCGGGGCCCGCTACGCTGCAGCCGGCACTGGCCCAGGTTGCAGTTGAGTTGCGACTTGGTCCCCGGGGTGCAGCGGGTCACACAGGCCAGCTTCCCGTCCACCTCGTCCACATAGTAGTACTTGGCGAAGTCCTTCGCAGCCCTCTGGGTGCATTGCTCTGTGTGTAGGGGTGGGGGCAGAGCAGCAGCACATGTTAGCCTGGCCACAGGAAGCCCCATGCGCACTGCCCCTCTCCACCCTCCCCGCCCACAGCTCCACGCGGCTGTGCTCACCCTGGAAGTTAAAGCCGAGCTTCACCGTGTCGTTCACTCTGGTGGCTTCCCCGTTGTAGCACAGGATGGAGTCTGCCGCAGGCGGGTGGGAGACAAGAACCAAACAGGACTGCTCCCCTCTGCACTCCTGTCCGGTAGCCAGGAGCCCGTTCCGACCACACACCCCCCATTCTGGCCCCTCCCTGGACAGCAAGGGTGGTGATGAGCTCAGCCTGGGAGAGAGGGGCAGGGGTGGGGCAGGGAGGCACCTGGGCCTCGTGTCTGGGTTCCCAAAGTGAGGTCTCCAGTATTTGAAAAGAAAAGGGTGAGAGGGGCCAATGAGAGAGGGCCCACCCCACTCTGAGCGGGGGGCTACAGCGGGGCCTACCTTGGCACTTGGGGATGTCATTCGGAACCACTCTGGTTTCGTTCATGATCTTGGTCCTCACGATCCTGGAGAGGTTGCTGAACACCTGCTGATACTCGGGGGTGTAGTTCACCTCCAGGACCACATCGTTGTCCACCACGATGCTGCCATTGCTGCGGGAGGAGTTGTTTCCCGGGTTACCCCACCGCCAGCCACCCACCCCGCAGGGAGGCCCAGAGGTAGGAAAGAGTAGGGACTGTGCCCCGAGCCACTGAGAAGCTCAGGGGACAGGAAGCAGGGCCAAGCAGCACAGACTCCCATGTCCACATGGCACAGGGTGGCACATCCCTAGAAACAGTTCTCAGGGCCGGCGCTGTGGCGGAGCGGGTTAAGCCACCGCCTGCAGCACCAGCACCCCATATGAGCACCAGTTTGAGTCCCGGCTGCTCTGCTTCCAATCCAGCTCCCTGCTAAGGTGCACCCTGGGAGGCAGCAGGGGATGGCCCAAGACACCTGCATGGGAGACAGGCTGTTGTGGGCATTTGGGGAGTGAATCAGCAGGTGGGAGATGTCTGTCTGTCTGTCTGTCTGTCTGCCTTTCAAATAAGTCAATTCTTGTAAAGCTCTGGAGACGTGAGGTGGTGAGAAAGGCAGGACCACATGAACACCCTTAATGCTGCCTCACCGTTCGGGGAAAATTGATTGACTACCAAAAAAACAAATTTAGTTAAAAAAAAAAAAAAGAGGCTCTTGGATTATATCTCAAAAATCAAATCTGGGATCTTTGGAAACATAGGATTCCAGCCCAGACATTCCTAAGGACGGGCCCACGGATGCTGCCGAGAGATCTGGAGGTGAGAACGGTCGCCCAGCATGGTTGTTGCAAAACAGAAAGTGACCGCAGGGCTCGGGAGCCCTGGAGCCTGCAGCATCCCAGGCCAGGTGGAGGCAGAAACAGCAAACGACACGTGGACGCACGAAGCAACAGGAGTGAGCGAGGAGCGAATGGGGAATGAATGATGTAGCAGTGAGCGAAAAAGATAAATGAGGCGGCACATGGCGAGCGAGTGGATGGACAGACGCCAGGGAAATGGCCTCGGGGTGCCGGTGCCCTCACCACCCAGCCACCGGGCACTCACAGCAGGTTCCGGATGATCACTTCCCGATAGGCAGTAAGGTCATCGCCCCCGTAAACTTGATCCATCTGTAAGGGAGGAGGCAGGTGAGCCCATGCAGGGTGTACAGGGCAGAGGCTGCCGTTCCCCGTCAGGGATAGCACCAGGCTCCCATGCGTCCATGGCTAAGCCCATGGGGACAAGGAAGGGACGGCCAGGGAGCTCCCTGTGCAGGGGCGTGGCTGGCGTGGGGCCCAGGGGTGGAAGGATGCCCTCTCAGGCCTGGGGGAGCCTGAGGGTCAGGACAGACCCCCGCTCCCCGCCTCTTGTCTGGATCTTCCCACTCGTACCCTCTGCTTGAACTCTTGGGTGAAATCCTTGTACGTCTGGGAGGAGACGTTATTCAGGTCTGGAGTGAAGTTTCTGTGAATTACTTTCACGATCACAGTCACAGTAGCGTTGATGACGTTGGGGACATCTGTAGGAAGGGGCCACACGAGGCGTGAGACACCATCCCCCCAGTCACATCTCCGGGATGGCTAAGTTCGCGTCCTGTTGGTCACGTGGACGGGAGAGCCACGGGTATGAGAAGGGATGGAAACTCGGGGGGCACATGTGGGTGGCCGAGGCCTCTGCCCCCTGCCTTTTGATGTTAGAAGCTGGCGGCCAGGACTGAGGCCCAGGGAGAAGGAAGTGGAGGGCACCCAAAAGGGTTGGGAAAGGACCTCCCTTCCCCCCAGCCGAGAGGGGCAGGTGAGCTGGTGCAGAGGCCAGCTGGTGGAAGCAGAAGATGCCCGCAGGTAGGGAGGCAGTGGGAGCAGCTGATCCTTCCAGTGCTGGCTTGCTGAGTTGTCAGGGGTCTGAAAAGGGCCGGGGGTCTCAGAAGAAGTAGTTACCTAAGGGGAAGGAGTAGGTGAGGGACTGGCACTCTTCACCGAAGAAGCCCGGGGCACAGATGCATTCCTGGCCGTCCCACATTTCCCAGCTCTGGCATTGTGCTGCAGAGGGACAAAAGGCACACCGGTTAACACAGGCAGCCCAGGGGACAGACAGCGGTGCTGTGCCAGCTGGCACGACTCACTGCACTGACAGGTGTCATGTGGGCACCCAGCCTAGCAGCTACTAGAGGCTGGCTGGGACAGCAGCTTCCCACGTGGGAGTGCTTGGGTTCAAGTTCCTGCTCTGATCCCAATCATCTCCCTGCTAATACACACCCTGGGAGAGGCAGCAAGTGATGGGTCAAGCCAATGAGTTGCTGCCACACACATGAGACACCTGGATTGAGTTCCCAGATCCCACTACTGTAGGCATCTGGCGGGGAGAGATCCAGCAGATGGGTGTTTCTCTCTCTCTCTCTCTCTCTCTCTCTCTCTCCCATTTGAAAGAGGAGACAGGACCCCAGAAATCATGCAGAAACTGAGAGCCCTCAACTGCCACCCCCTCATGCCCAGGAGTCACTGGGGGAAGGAAGAGGAAGGAAAATGACAGGGAGGAAGAAAATAACCAAACAATAGGATGAGCCAAGAACACACGAGTGCCACACATCAAGTCAGGACATCAGTCAATGCGGGCACGAGTCAGAGTGGGAAGATGGGAGCCCAGATTTGGTAAAGAGGAGGGTGAGAGGGAAGAAGGAAGGGACAGGAGAGTGGATAAGTGAACTGGGGTGCATACCTGGGGTGCTCCACCTGGAGACGGTCATTGTCACAGAAGTGTAGGTGCTGGGGGATGAGGGACCAAGAGTGGAAGAGGTGTTGGGAGAGAGGGATGGAAAATGGGTGGAGACAGGGGAGGTGGAGGAAGGAGGGGGAAAGCTAGCGGAAGTTCTAGTGGACCAAGACGCAGGGGAGGAGGCTGCAGAGGCGGGGTTGCTGGACAGCACAGTGCTGAGTGCAGACGCAGGCGCTGTGCTGAACACCAAGGTTTGGAAGGTGTCCGTTGGGGCTGTCACGGGTGCTGACGAGGGGCTGTGGCCAAGGGTGGTGGATCCTTTAGGGATGAGAGTGGACTGGGAGGTGGGAGACACCATGGTGCCAGGTATGGAACCAGGGCTCGGGGTGAAGGAGGTGGGTGTGAGAACAGAGACAGTAGTAGGAGAGCTGTGGGAAGACACCGTGCCGTGAGTTGGACCACTACTGCTGGGAAAAGCTGTGGACACCTCTGTGAGGGCAGCAGTGTGGAAGGTGTCACTGGGCAATGGCGTGGGTATGGACACAGGGCTACTGTGGGGACTTGTGAATGACTCAGCTGGCTGCGTGGTGGGGGAGCTTGCAGGCAACATTGTCGTGTGTACTGAAGCTGTGCTACTTGGGAAGGGAGATGAAGCCTCAGGGAAGACTGTGGATGGAGAGGCTGCTGGTGAAAAGGTTGACCAGGACGACGCCGGGCTGCTGAGGAGGGTGGAGGATGCATCAGTGGACACTGTAGGATGGGAGCTGTAAGGAAGGAGTGTGCTGTGTACAACACTGGGACTGCCCAAGGAGCTGGTAGATCCCACAGTTAGGACAGTGCTCTCAGAACTGACGGACGACATTGTGGTGAGTGCTGATTCCGGACTCGTTGGGGAGGCTGTGGAGTGGGTGTTGATTGACGTGAGTGTAGGCAGTGCTGAAGCTGAAGTGTTCTCGATGGTTGTGGATGTTTCACCAGGCACCATGGTTTGGGAAGTGGTGAAGGACCCTGTCGTGTGAGCTGTAGCAGAGCTGCTCTGGGAGGAGGAGGAAGCCTCGGTGAGGACCGTGGTTGGCGAGCTCTCCGAGGGCTGTGATGTTGGTGCTGACGATGGGCTGCTGGGGAAAGTGGTGGATTCTACAGTGAGAGTGGTGGACTGGGGGCTTGCAGGTGGCTCTGTGCTGAAGGCTGAACTTTGGCTGCTGGGGAAGGTTGTCGAATGATCCATGGGTGGTGTGGCTGTTGTTCTGGTTGTTGTTAGTGTTGGGCCTGCTGAAGCTGACGTTGTTGGGACAGTTGTAGACTCTGAAGTGACAACCGATGGTGGGGAGCTGGCACTCGACAATGGCATGCTGACTGATCCTGGAGTGCTTTGGATGGTAGTGGATGTTTCACCAGGCACCATGGTTTGGGAAGTGCTGAAGGACCCGGTCGTGTGCACTGTAGCAGAGCTGCTCTGGGCGGCTGAGGAAGCCGCGGTGAGGACGGTGCTCATTGAGCTCCCAGAGGGCTGTGATGTTGGTGCTGAGGACGGGCTGCTGGGGTAGGTGGTGGATTCCCCAGTGAGAGTGGTGGACTGGTGGGTGGCAGGTGATTCTGAGCCGAAGGTGGAGCTTGCGGTGCTGGGTCCAGCTGTAGAATGTTCCGTGGGTGCTGTGACTGTTGAGCTGATGGAGGTGAGTGTTGGGGGTGCGGAAGCTGAAGTGCTTTGGGAGGTTGTAGACTGCGACGTGACGACCGTGGATGGGGAGCTGTCACTTGACCCTGGAGTGGTTACTGATGCTGACGTGCTTTGGATGGTTGTAGATGTTACACCCGGCATGGTTGTTTGGGAGGTGTCAGTGGACCCAGTCGTGGGTGCTGTAGCAGGGCTGCTCTGGAAGGGTGAGGAAGCCTCGGTGAGGACCGTGCTCGGTGAGCTCTCCGAGGGCTGTGGTGTCGGTGTTGACGATGGCTTGCTGGGAGAGGTGGTGGATTCCACAGTGAGAGTGGTGGGCGGGGTGGTGGCAGATGGCTGTGAGCCGGTGGTGGAGAGTGGGCTGCTGGGTCCGGCTGTAGAGGAATCAGTGAGTCCTGTGACTGTTGAGCTGATGGAGGTGAGTGTTGGAGGTGCTGAAGCTGAAGTGCTTTGGGAGGTTGTGAACTCCGACGTGACGACCGCGGATGGGGAGCTGTCACTTGACAGTGGTGTCGTTACTGATCCTACTGTGCTTTGGAAGGTTGTGGATGTTTCACCAGGCACCATGGTTTGGGAAGTGGTGAAGGACCCTGTCGTGTGAGCTGTAGCAGAGCTGCTCTGGGAGGAGGAGGAAGCCTCGGTGGGGACCGTGGTTGGCGAGCTCTCCGAGGGCTGTGATGTTGGTGCTGACGATGGGCTGCTGGGGAAAGTGGTGGATTCTACAGTGAGAGTGGTGGACTGGGGGCTTGCAGGTGGCTCTGTGCTGAAGGCTGAACTTTGGCTGCTGGGGAAGGTTGTCGAATGATCCATGGGTGGTGTGGCTGTTGTTCTGGTTGTTGTTTGTGTTGGGCCTGCTGAAGCTGACGTTGTTGGGACAGTTGTAGACTCTGAAGTGACAACCGATGGTGGGGAGCTGGCACTCGACAATGGCATGCTGACTGATCCTGGAGTGCTTTGGATGGTAGTGGATGTTTCACCAGGCACCATGGTTTGGGAAGTGCTGAAGGACCCGGTCGTGTGCACTGTAGCAGAGCTGCTCTGGGCGGCTGAGGAAGCCGCGGTGAGGACGGTGCTCATTGAGCTCCCAGAGGGCTGTGATATTGGTGCTGAGGACGGGCTGCTGGGGTAGGTGGTGGATTCCCCAGTGAGAGTGGTGGACTGGTGGGTGGCAGGTGATTCTGAGCCGAAGGTGGAGCTTGCGGTGCTGGGTCCAGCTGTAGAATGTTCCGTGGGTGCTGTGACTGTTGAGCTGATGGAGGTGAGTGTTGGGGGTGCGGAAGCTGAAGTGCTTTGGGAGGTTGTAGACTGCGACGTGACGACCGTGGATGGGGAGCTGTCACTTGACCCTGGAGTGGTTACTGATGCTGACGTGCTTTGGATGGTTGTAGATGTTACACCCGGCATGGTTGTTTGGGAGGTGTCAGTGGACCCAGTCGTGGGTGCTGTAGCAGGGCTGCTCTGGAAGGGTGAGGAAGCCTCGGTGAGGACCGTGCTCGGTGAGCTCTCCGAGGGCTGTGGTGTCGGTGTTGACGATGGCTTGCTGGGAGAGGTGGTGGATTCCACAGTGAGAGTGGTGGGCGGGGTGGTGGCAGATGGCTGTGAGCCGGTGGTGGAGAGTGGGCTGCTGGGTCCGGCTGTAGAGGAATCAGTGAGTCCTGTGACTGTTGAGCTGATGGAGGTGAGTGTTGGAGGTGCTGAAGCTGAAGTGCTTTGGGAGGTTGTGAACTCCGACGTGACGACCGTGGATGGGGAGCTGTCACTTGACAGTGGTGTCGTTACTGATCCTACTGTGCTTTGGAAGGTTGTGGATGTTTCACCAGGCACCATGGTTTGGGAAGTGGTGAAGGACCCTGTCGTGTGAGCTGTAGCAGAGCTGCTCTGGGAGGAGGAGGAAGCCTCGGTGGGGACCGTGGTTGGCGAGCTCTCCGAGGGCTGTGATGTTGGTGCTGACGATGGGCTGCTGGGGAAAGTGGTGGATTCCACAGTGAGAGTGGTGGACTGGGGGCTTGCAGGTGGCTCTGTGCTGAAGGCTGAACTTTGGCTGCTGGGGAAGGTTGTCGAATGATCCATGGGTGGTGTGGCTGTTGTTCTGGTTGTTGTTAGTGTTGGGCCTGCTGAAGCTGACGTTGTTGGGACAGTTGTAGACTCTGAAGTGACAACCGATGGTGGGGAGCTGGCACTCGACAATGGCATGCTGACTGATCCTGGAGTGCTTTGGATGGTAGTGGATGTTTCACCAGGCACCATGGTTTGGGAAGTGCTGAAGGACCCGGTCGTGTGCACTGTAGCAGAGCTGCTCTGGGCGGCTGAGGAAGCCGCGGTGAGGACGGTGCTCATTGAGCTCCCAGAGGGCTGTGATGTTGGTGCTGAGGACGGGCTGCTGGGGTAGGTGGTGGATTCCCCAGTGAGAGTGGTGGACTGGTGGGTGGCAGGTGATTCTGAGCCGAAGGTGGAGCTTGCGGTGCTGGGTCCAGCTGTAGAATGTTCCGTGGGTGCTGTGACTGTTGAGCTGATGGAGGTGAGTGTTGGGGGTGCGGAAGCTGAAGTGCTTTGGGAGGTTGTAGACTGCGACGTGACGACCGTGGATGGGGAGCTGTCACTTGACCCTGGAGTGGTTACTGATGCTGACGTGCTTTGGATGGTTGTAGATGTTACACCCGGCATGGTTGTTTGGGAGGTGTCAGTGGACCCAGTCGTGGGTGCTGTAGCAGGGCTGCTCTGGAAGGGTGAGGAAGCCTCGGTGAGGACCGTGCTCGGTGAGCTCTCCGAGGGCTGTGGTGTCGGTGTTGACGATGGCTTGCTGGGAGAGGTGGTGGATTCCACAGTGAGAGTGGTGGGCGGGGTGGTGGCAGATGGCTGTGAGCCGGTGGTGGAGAGTGGGCTGCTGGGTCCGGCTGTAGAGGAATCAGTGAGTCCTGTGACTGTTGAGCTGATGGAGGTGAGTGTTGGAGGTGCTGAAGCTGAAGTGCTTTGGGAGGTTGTGAACTCCGACGTGACGACCGCGGATGGGGAGCTGTCACTTGACAGTGGTGTCGTTACTGATCCTACTGTGCTTTGGAAGGTTGTGGATGTTTCACCAGGCACCATGGTTTGGGAAGTGGTGAAGGACCCTGTCGTGTGAGCTGTAGCAGAGCTGCTCTGGGAGGAGGAGGAAGCCTCGGTGGGGACCGTGGTTGGCGAGCTCTCCGAGGGCTGTGATGTTGGTGCTGACGATGGGCTGCTGGGGAAAGTGGTGGATTCCACAGTGAGAGTGGTGGACTGGGGGCTTGCAGGTGGCTCTGTGCTGAAGGCTGAACTTTGGCTGCTGGGGAAGGTTGTCGAATGATCCATGGGTGGTGTGGCTGTTGTTCTGGTTGTTGTTAGTGTTGGGCCTGCTGAAGCTGACGTTGTTGGGACAGTTGTAGACTCTGAAGTGACAACCGATGGTGGGGAGCTGGCACTCGACAATGGCATGCTGACTGATCCTGGAGTGCTTTGGATGGTAGTGGATGTTTCACCAGGCACCATGGTTTGGGAAGTGCTGAAGGACCCGGTCGTGTGCACTGTAGCAGAGCTGCTCTGGGCGGCTGAGGAAGCCGCGGTGAGGACGGTGCTCATTGAGCTCCCAGAGGGCTGTGATGTTGGTGCTGAGGACGGGCTGCTGGGGTAGGTGGTGGATTCCCCAGTGAGAGTGGTGGACTGGTGGGTGGCAGGTGATTCCGAGCCGAAGGTGGAGCTTGCGGTGCTGGGTCCAGCTGTAGAATGTTCCGTGGGTGCTGTGACTGTTGAGCTGATGGAGGTGAGTGTTGGGGGTGCGGAAGCTGAAGTGCTTTGGGAGGTTGTAGACTGCGACGTGACGACCGTGGATGGGGAGCTGTCACTTGACCCTGGAGTGGTTACTGATGCTGACGTGCTTTGGATGGTTGTAGATGTTACACCCGGCATGGTTGTTTGGGAGGTGTCAGTGGACCCAGTCGTGGGTGCTGTAGCAGGGCTGCTCTGGAAGGGTGAGGAAGCCTCGGTGAGGACCGTGCTCGGTGAGCTCTCCGAGGGCTGTGGTGTCGGTGTTGACGATGGCTTGCTGGGAGAGGTGGTGGATTCCACAGTGAGAGTGGTGGGCGGGGTGGTGGCAGATGGCTGTGAGCCGGTGGTGGAGAGTGGGCTGCTGGGTCCGGCTGTAGAGGAATCAGTGAGTCCTGTGACTGTTGAGCTGATGGAGGTGAGTGTTGGAGGTGCTGAAGCTGAAGTGCTTTGGGAGGTTGTGAACTCCGACGTGACGACCGTGGATGGGGAGCTGTCACTTGACAGTGGTGTCGTTACTGATCCTACTGTGCTTTGGAAGGTTGTGGATGTTTCACCAGGCACCATGGTTTGGGAAGTGGTGAAGGACCCTGTCGTGTGAGCTGTAGCAGAGCTGCTCTGGGAGGAGGAGGAAGCCTCGGTGAGGACCGTGGTTGGCGAGCTCTCTGAGGGCTGTGATGTTGGTGCTGACGATGGGCTGCTGGGGAAAGTGGTGGATTCTACAGTGAGAGTGGTGGACTGGGGGCTTGCAGGTGGCTCTGTGCTGAAGGCTGAACTTTGGCTGCTGGGGAAGGTTGTCGAATGATCCATGGGTGGTGTGGCTGTTGTTCTGGTTGTTGTTTGTGTTGGGCCTGCTGAAGCTGACGTTGTTGGGACAGTTGTAGACTCTGAAGTGACAACCGATGGTGGGGAGCTGGCACTCGACAATGGCATGCTGACTGATCCTGGAGTGCTTTGGATGGTAGTGGATGTTTCACCAGGCACCATGGTTTGGGAAGTGCTGAAGGACCCGGTCGTGTGCACTGTAGCAGAGCTGCTCTGGGCGGCTGAGGAAGCCGCGGTGAGGACGGTGCTCATTGAGCTCCCAGAGGGCTGTGATGTTGGTGCTGAGGACGGGCTGCTGGGGTAGGTGGTGGATTCCCCAGTGAGAGTGGTGGACTGGTGGGTGGCAGGTGATTCTGAGCCGAAGGTGGAGCTTGCGGTGCTGGGTCCAGCTGTAGAATGTTCCGTGGGTGCTGTGACTGTTGAGCTGATGGAGGTGAGTGTTGGGGGTGCGGAAGCTGAAGTGCTTTGGGAGGTTGTAGACTGCGACGTGACGACCGTGGATGGGGAGCTGTCACTTGACCCTGGAGTGGTTACTGATGCTGACGTGCTTTGGATGGTTGTAGATGTTACACCCGGCATGGTTGGTTGGGAGGTGTCAGTGGACCCAGTCGTGGGTGCTGTAGCAGAGCTGCTCTGGAAGGGTGAGGAAGCCTCGGTGAGGACCGTGCTCGGTGAGCTCTCCGAGGGCTGTGGTGTCGGTGTTGACGATGGCTTGCTGGGAGAGGTGGTGGATTCCACAGTGAGAGTGGTGGGCGGGGTGGTGGCAGATGGCTGTGAGCCGGTGGTGGAGAGTGGGCTGCTGGGTCCGGCTGTAGAGGAATCAGTGAGTCCTGTGACTGTTGAGCTGATGGAGGTGAGTGTTGGAGGTGCTGAAGCTGAAGTGCTTTGGGAGGTTGTGAACTCCGACGTGACGACCGCGGATGGGGAGCTGTCACTTGACAGTGGTGTCGTTACTGATCCTACTGTGCTTTGGAAGGTTGTGGATGTTTCACCAGGCACCATGGTTTGGGAAGTGGTGAAGGACCCTGTCGTGTGAGCTGTAGCAGAGCTGCTCTGGGAGGAGGAGGAAGCCTCGGTGGGGACCGTGGTTGGCGAGCTCTCCGAGGGCTGTGATGTTGGTGCTGACGATGGGCTGCTGGGGAAAGTGGTGGATTCCACAGTGAGAGTGGTGGACTGGGGGCTTGCAGGTGGCTCTGTGCTGAAGGCTGAACTTTGGCTGCTGGGGAAGGTTGTCGAATGATCCATGGGTGGTGTGGCTGTTGTTCTGGTTGTTGTTAGTGTTGGGCCTGCTGAAGCTGACGTTGTTGGGACAGTTGTAGACTCTGAAGTGACAACCGATGGTGGGGAGCTGGCACTCGACAATGGCATGCTGACTGATCCTGGAGTGCTTTGGATGGTAGTGGATGTTTCACCAGGCACCATGGTTTGGGAAGTGCTGAAGGACCCGGTCGTGTGCACTGTAGCAGAGCTGCTCTGGGCGGCTGAGGAAGCCGCGGTGAGGACGGTGCTCATTGAGCTCCCAGAGGGCTGTGATGTTGGTGCTGAGGACGGGCTGCTGGGGTAGGTGGTGGATTCCCCAGTGAGAGTGGTGGACTGGTGGGTGGCAGGTGATTCTGAGCCGAAGGTGGAGCTTGCGGTGCTGGGTCCAGCTGTAGAATGTTCCGTGGGTGCTGTGACTGTTGAGCTGATGGAGGTGAGTGTTGGGGGTGCGGAAGCTGAAGTGCTTTGGGAGGTTGTAGACTGCGACGTGACGACCGTGGATGGGGAGCTGTCACTTGACCCTGGAGTGGTTACTGATGCTGACGTGCTTTGGATGGTTGTAGATGTTACACCCGGCATGGTTGTTTGGGAGGTGTCAGTGGACCCAGTCGTGGGTGCTGTAGCAGGGCTGCTCTGGAAGGGTGAGGAAGCCTCGGTGAGGACCGTGCTCGGTGAGCTCTCCGAGGGCTGTGGTGTCGGTGTTGACGATGGCTTGCTGGGAGAGGTGGTGGATTCCACAGTGAGAGTGGTGGGCGGGGTGGTGGCAGATGGCTGTGAGCCGGTGGTGGAGAGTGGGCTGCTGGGTCCGGCTGTAGAGGAATCAGTGAGTCCTGTGACTGTTGAGCTGATGGAGGTGAGTGTTGGAGGTGCTGAAGCTGAAGTGCTTTGGGAGGTTGTGAACTCCGACGTGACGACCGCGGATGGGGAGCTGTCACTTGACAGTGGTGTCGTTACTGATCCTACTGTGCTTTGGAAGGTTGTGGATGTTTCACCAGGCACCATGGTTTGGGAAGTGGTGAAGGACCCTGTCGTGTGAGCTGTAGCAGAGCTGCTCTGGGAGGAGGAGGAAGCCTCGGTGGGGACCGTGGTTGGCGAGCTCTCCGAGGGCTGTGATGTTGGTGCTGACGATGGGCTGCTGGGGAAAGTGGTGGATTCCACAGTGAGAGTGGTGGACTGGGGGCTTGCAGGTGGCTCTGTGCTGAAGGCTGAACTTTGGCTGCTGGGGAAGGTTGTCGAATGATCCATGGGTGGTGTGGCTGTTGTTCTGGTTGTTGTTTGTGTTGGGCCTGCTGAAGCTGACGTTGTTGGGACAGTTGTAGACTCTGAAGTGACAACCGATGGTGGGGAGCTGGCACTCGACAATGGCATGCTGACTGATCCTGGAGTGCTTTGGATGGTAGTGGATGTTTCACCAGGCACCATGGTTTGGGAAGTGCTGAAGGACCCGGTCGTGTGCACTGTAGCAGAGCTGCTCTGGGCGGCTGAGGAAGCCGCGGTGAGGACGGTGCTCATTGAGCTCCCAGAGGGCTGTGATGTTGGTGCTGAGGACGGGCTGCTGGGGTAGGTGGTGGATTCCCCAGTGAGAGTGGTGGACTGGTGGGTGGCAGGTGATTCTGAGCCGAAGGTGGAGCTTGCGGTGCTGGGTCCAGCTGTAGAATGTTCCGTGGGTGCTGTGACTGTTGAGCTGATGGAGGTGAGTGTTGGGGGTGCGGAAGCTGAAGTGCTTTGGGAGGTTGTAGACTGCGACGTGACGACCGTGGATGGGGAGCTGTCACTTGACCCTGGAGTGGTTACTGATGCTGACGTGCTTTGGATGGTTGTAGATGTTACACCCGGCATGGTTGGTTGGGAGGTGTCAGTGGACCCAGTCGTGGGTGCTGTAGCAGGGCTGCTCTGGAAGGGTGAGGAAGCCTCGGTTTGGACCGTGCTCGGTGAGCTCTCCGAGGGCTGTGGTGTCGGTGTTGACGATGGCTTGCTGGGAGAGGTGGTGGATTCCACAGTGAGAGTGGTGGGCGGGGTGGTGGCAGATGGCTGTGAGCCGGTGGTGGAGAGTGGGCTGCTGGGTCCGGCTGTAGAGGAATCAGTGAGTCCTGTGACTGTTGAGCTGATGGAGGTGAGTGTTGGAGGTGCTGAAGCTGAAGTGCTTTGGGAGGTTGTGAACTCCGACGTGACGACCGTGGATGGGGAGCTGTCACTTGACAGTGGTGTCGTTACTGATCCTACTGTGCTTTGGAAGGTTGTGGATGTTTCACCAGGCACCATGGTTTGGGAAGTGGTGAAGGACCCTGTCGGGTGAGCTGTAGCAGAGCTGCTCTGGGAGGAGGAGGAAGCCTCGGTGAGGACCGTGGTTGGCGAGCTCTCTGAGGGCTGTGATGTTGGTGCTGACGATGGGCTGCTGGGGAAAGTGGTGGATTCTACAGTGAGAGTGGTGGACTGGGGGCTTGCAGGTGGCTCTGTGCTGAAGGCTGAACTTTGGCTGCTGGGGAAGGTTGTCGAATGATCCATGGGTGGTGTGGCTGTTGTTCTGGTTGTTGTTTGTGTTGGGCCTGCTGAAGCTGACGTTGTTGGGACAGTTGTAGACTCTGAAGTGACAACCGATGGTGGGGAGCTGGCACTCGACAATGGCATGCTGACTGATCCTGGAGTGCTTTGGATGGTTGTAGATGTTTCACCAGGCACCATGGTTTGGGAAGTGCTAAAGGACCCGGTCGTGTGCACTGTAGCAGAGCTGCTCTGGGCGGCTGAGGAAGCCGCGGTGAGGACGGTGCTCATTGAGCTCCCAGAGGGCTGTGATGTTGGTGCTGAGGACGGGCTGCTGGGGTAGGTGGTGGATCCCCCAGTGAGAGTGGTGGACTGGTGGGTGGCAGGTGATTCCGAGCCAAAGGTGGAGCTTGCGGTGCTGGGTCCAGCTGTAGAATGTTCCGTGGGTGCTGTGACTGTTGAGCTGATGGAGGTGAGTGTTGGGGGTGCGGAAGCTGAAGTGCTTTGGAAGGTTGTAGACTGCTCTGTGTCGACAGTAGTTTTGGAGCTGTCAGTTGACAATGGCATGGTTGCTGAGCTAGTGCTGCTTGAGAAGGCTGTAGATGTTTGGTCAGGCACCGTGGTTTGGGACCTGTCTGTCAACCCTGTTGTGTGTGTTGAAGCTGTGCTACTTAATAATGGTGAGGAAGCCCCAATGAGGACTGTGGTTTGAGAGGTTTCTGGTGACAGCGTTGACGGGGATTCTGCTGGGCTGCTCTGGAAGGCTGTGGATCCTTCAGTGAACACTGTGGGATAGGAGCTGCCACTCTGGACTGTGCTGTGCACTGTGCTGCGGCTACTCAGTAAGGCTGTAGACCCCATTGTGAGGACGGTGCTGTCAGATGCCACTGATGTCAGTGTTGTTGGTACTGATTCTGGGCTGCTTGGGCAGGTTGTGTACACCTGACTAAAGCTTGTGCTTTGGGTGTTCTCAGTTGTCCCTGTTGTTTGCACTGATGCTGGGCTACCTGGAACCATGGTAGATGTTTCACTAGAAACTGTGGTGTGGGAGCTAGCAATGGGCGATGAGGTGTATGCCGAGGCAAGACTGCTATGGAAGGTGGTAGATCTATCAAGGACTGTGGTGTGTGAGGTGTAAGAGGATGCAGTTATGTGTGTTGAAGCAGGACTGTGGGAGGAACCTGTGGGCCCCTCAGTGAGGATGGTGGTTTGGGTGCTGTCTGTTGTTGCTGTTTTAGATGCTGTTCCTGGGCTGGTGGGAGGGGTTGTAGGTCCTTCAGTGAGGGCTGTGTTTTGGGAGCTCATGGATGATGGTGTAGAAACAGGTACAGTTAAACTACTAAGGAAGATTGTAGGTTCTCCTGTGAATACCGTGGATTGGGAGCTGAAACTTGGCAGTGTTGTTGGTGATCCAGAGCTATCTGGGTTGATTGTGGGTGTGGGTGATTCACCGGGCACCATGGTTTGGGAGGTGTCAGGAAACCCTGTTGTGTGCGCTGTAGCAGAGCTGCTCTGGAAAGGTGAGGAAGCCTCGGTGAGGGCTGTGCTTGGTGAACTCTCAGAAGACAGTGCTGTTGGTGTTGAAGATTGTGAGTTAGCAGATGACACTGCACTGAGAGTGGAGTCTGGGCTGCTGGGGATGGCCGTAGAATGCACTGTGGGTGTTGCGACTGTTGAGCTGATTGCTGTGAGTGTTGAAGCTGAAGTGCTATGGAAGGTTGTAGACTCTGTCGTGATACCCATGGTTTGGGAGCTGTCACTCAACAGTGGGGTGGTTGCTGATCCAGGACTACTTGGTAAGGCTGTAGATATTTCACCAGGCACCGTGGTTTGGAAGCTGTCAGTTGGCCATGTCGTGGGTACTGATCCTGAACTGCTTTGGGTGGGTTTAGATGTTTCACCAGGCACAGTGGTATAGGAGCTATCAGGCAACACTGTTGTGTGTGCTGAACCTGTGCTACTTAGGAATGGTGAGGATACCGGGGTGAGTACTGTGTTTAAAGTGGTGTCAGGTGACACTGTTGACCATGCTGACACTGGGCTGCTCTGGAGGGTCGTGGATCTCTCCGTGGACACTGTGGTTTGCGAGGTCTCTGTCAGCAACGTACTGTACTCTGTGCCAGGGCTGCTTGGGAAAGTGGTAGATCCCATGGTGAGGCCGGTGTTCTCAGGGCTGCTGGATGTCAGAGTTGACAGAACTGATCCTGTGCTGCTGTGGATGGTTGGAAGTTCTTCAGTGCGTTCTGTGCTTGGGGATCTGCTCAGTGTTGGGGTTGGGAAGGCACATGTTACAGTGCTTTGGAATGTTGAAGATTCTCCCTTGTTTGCTGTGGTATGGGAGGTGTCACTAGGCCATGGAATGGCTGAAGAACCTGGAGTGCTCTGGAAGGTCATGGACGTGCCTTTGGTGATGGTGGTCTGGTAACTGTCACTGGACAATGTTGTGGTTCGGGATCCTGGACTGCTTAGGAAGGTTGTGGACGCTCCTAAGACAACTGTGCTTGGCGAGCTATCACTGGAATACGTCGGGGCTGTGGATCTCAGGTTGGTTTGGAAGTTAGTAGATTCTGTTACACTGAGTGTAGATGTGGAGTTCGCACTTTGCGATGTCGTGAGTGCTGAACCTGGACGGCCTTGGAAGGTTGTAGTCTCTCCTACGAAAGCTGTGCTCTGAGAGCTATAACTGTGTCCTGTTGTGGCTGTAGATCCTGGGTAATTTTCCAAAGTTGTGGAAGCTCTAAAAGCTGTAGTATGTGAGCTCTCACTGGATACTGCCGTGAATGCTGACACTGGGCTGCTTTGAGATGTAGTAGGAGATTCACCAGGAATGGTTCCTTCGGAGGAGTAAGGCAACCCTGTCGTGTGGGGAGTAGCAGAGCTGCTATGGTAGAGTGAGGAAGCCTCGGTAAAGATCGTGCTCATTGAGCTCCCAGAGGGCTGTGATGTTGGTGCTGAGGACGGGCTGCTGCGGTAGGTGGTGGATTCCACAGTACGAGTGGTGGACTGGTGGGTGGCAGGTGATTCCGAGCCAAAGATGGAGAGTGGGCTGCTGGGTCCGGCTGTAGAGGAATCAGTGAGTCCTGTGACTGTTGAGCTGATGGAGGTGAGGGTTGGAGGTGCTGAAGCTGAAGTGCTTTGGGAGGTTGTGAACTCCGACATGATGACCGTGGATGGGGAGCTGTCACTTGACAGTGGTGTCGTTACTGATCCTACTGTGCTTTGGATGGTTGTAGATGTTTCACCAGGCACCATGGTTTGGGAAGTGGTGAAGGACCCTGTCGTGTGCACTGTAGCAGAGCTGCTCTGGGCAGCTGAGGAAGCCGCGGTGAGGACGGTGCTCATTGAGCTCCCAGAGGGCTGTGATGTTGGTGCTGAGGACGGGCTGCTGGGGTAGGTGGTGGATTCCCCAGTGAGAGTGGTGGACTGGTGGGTGGCAGGTGATTCCGAGCCGAAGGTGGAGCTTGCGGTGCTGGGTCCAGCTGTGGAATGTTCCGTGGGTGCTGTGACTGTTGAGCTGATGGATGTGAGTGTTGGGGGTGCGGAAGCTGAAGTGCTTTGGGAGGTTGTAGACTGCGACGTGACAACCGTGGATGGGGAGCTGTCACTTGACCCTGGAGTGGTTACTGATGCTGACGTGCTTTGGATGGTTGTAGATGTTACACCCGGCATGGTTGTTTGGGAGGTGTCAGTGGACCCAGTCGTGGGTGCTGTAGCAGGGCTGCTCTGGAAGGGTGAGGAAGCCTCGGTTTGGACCGTGCTCGGTGAGCTCTCCGAGGGCTGTGGTGTCGGTGTTGACGATGGCTTGCTGGGAGAGGTGGTGGATTCCACAGTGAGAGTGGTGGGCGGGGTGGTGGCAGATGGCTGTGAGCCGGTGGTGGAGAGTGGGCTGCTGGGTCCGGCTGTAGAGGAATCAGTGAGTCCTGTGACTGTTGAGCTGATGGAGGTGAGTGTTGGAGGTGCTGAAGCTGAAGTGCTTTGGGAGGTTGTGAACTCCGACATGACGACCGTGGATGGGGAGCTGTCACTTGACAGTGGTGTCATTACTGATCCGACTGTGCTTTGGATGGTTGTGGATGTTTCACCAGGCACCATGGTTTGGGAAGTGGTGAAGGACCCTGTCGTGTGAGCTGTAGCAGAGCTGCTCTGGGAGGAGGAGGAAGCCTCGGTGGGGACCGTGGTTGGCGAGCTCTCCGAGGGCTGTGATGTTGGTGCTGACGATGGGCTGCTGGGGAAAGTGGTGGATTCTACAGTGAGAGTGGTGGATTGGGGGCTTGCAGGTGGCTCTGTGCTGAAGGCTGAACTTTGGCTGCTGGGGAAGGTTGTCGAATGATCCATGGGTGGTGTGGCTGTTGTTCTGGTTGTTGTTTGTGTTGGGCCTGCTGAAGCTGACGTTGTTGGGACAGTTGTAGACTCTGAAGTGACAACCGATGGTGGGGAGCTGGCACTCGACAATGGCATGCTGACTGATCCTGGAGTGCTTTGGATGGTAGTGGATGTTTCACCAGGCACCATGGTTTGGGAAGTGCTGAAGGACCCTGTCGTGTGCACTGTAGCAGAGCTGCTCTGGGCGGCTGAGGAAGCCGCGGTGAGGACGGTGCTCATTGAGCTCCCAGAGGGCTGTGATGTTGGTGCTGAGGACGGGTTGCTGGGGTAGGTGGTGGATTCCCCAGTGAGAGTGGTGGACTGCTGGGTGGCTGGTGATTCCGAGCCGAAGGTGGAGCTTGCGGTGCTGGGTCCAGCTGTAGAATGTTCTGTGGGTGCTGTGACTGTTGAGCTGATGGAGGTGAGTATTGGAGGTAAAGAAGCTGAAGTGCTTTGGGAGGTTGTGAACTCCGACGTGACGACCGTGGATGGGGAGCTGTCACTTGACCCTGGAGTGGTTACTGATGCTGACGTGCTTTGGATGGTTGTAGATGTTACACCCGGCATGGTTGTTTGGGAGGTGTCAGTGGACCCAGTCGTGGGTGCTGTAGCAGGGCTGCTCTGGAAGGGTGAGGAAGCCTCGGTGAGGACCGTGCTTGGTGAGCTCTCCGAGGGCTGTGGTGTCGGTGTTGACGATGGCTTGCTGGGAGAGGTGGTGGATTCCACAGTGAGAGTGGTGGGCGGGGTGGTGGCAGATGGCTGTGAGCCGGTGGTGGAGAGTGGGCTGCTGGGTCCGGCTGTAGAGGAATCAGTGAGTCCTGTGACTGTTGAGCTGATGGAGGTGAGTGTTGGAGGTGCTGAAGCTGAAGTGCTTTGGGAGGTTGTGAACTCCGATGTGACGACCGTGGATGGGGTGCTGTCACTTGACCCTGGAGTGGTTACTGATCCTACTGTGCTTTGGAAGGTTGTGGATGTTTCACCAGGCACCATGGTTTGGGAAGTGGTGAAGGACCCTGTCGTGTGAGCTGTAGCAGAGCTGCTCTGGGAGGAGGAGGAAGCCTCGGTGGGGACCGTGGTTGGCGAGCTCTCCGAGGGCTGTGATGTTGGTGCTGACGATGGGCTGCTGGGGAAAGTGGTGGATTCTACAGTGAGAGTGGTGGACTGGGGGCTTGCAGGTGGCTCTGTGCTGAAGGCTGAACTTTGGCTGCTGGGGAAGGTTGTCGAATGATCCATGGGTGGTGTGGCTGTTGTTCTGGTTGTTGTTTGTGTTGGGCCTGCTGAAGCTGACGTTGTTGGGACAGTTGTAGACTCTGAAGTGACAACCGATGGTGGGGAGCTGGCACTCGACAATGGCATGCTGACTGATCCTGGAGTGCTTTGGATGGTTGTAGATGTTTCACCAGGCACCATGGTTTGGGAAGTGCTAAAGGACCCTGTCGTGTGCACTGTAGCAGAGCTGCTCTGGGCGGCTGAGGAAGCCGCGGTGAGGACGGTGCTCATTGAGCTCCCAGAGGGCTGTGATGTTGGTGCTGAGGACGGGCTGCTGGGGTAGGTGGTGGATTCCCCAGTGAGAGTGGTGGACTGGTGGGTGGCAGGTGATTCTGAGCCGAAGGTGGAGCTTGCGGTGCTGGGTCCAGCTGCAGAATGTTCCGTGGGTGCTGTGACTGTTGAGCTGATGGAGGTGAGTGTTGGGGGTGCAGAAGCTGAAGTGCTTTGGGAGGTTGTAGACTGCGACGTGACGACCGTGGATGGGGAGCTGTCACTTGACCCTGGAGTGGTTACTGATGCTGACGTGCTTTGGATGGTTGTAGATGTTACACCCGGCATGGTTGTTTGGGAGGTGTCAGTGGACCCAGTCGTGGGTGCTGTAGCAGGGCTGCTCTGGAAGGGTGAGGAAGCCTCGGTTTGGACCGTGCTCGGTGAGCTCTCCGAGGGCTGTGGTGTCGGTGTTGACGATGGCTTGCTGGGAGAGGTGGTGGATTCCACAGTGAGAGTGGTGGGCGGGGTGGTGGCAGATGGCTGTGAGCCGGTGGTGGAGAGTGGGCTGCTGGGTCCGGCTGTAGAGGAATCAGTGAGTCCTGTGACTGTTGAGCTGATGGAGGTGAGTGTTGGAGGTGCTGAAGCTGAAGTGCTTTGGGAGGTTGTGAACTCCGATGTGACGACCGTGGATGGGGAGCTGTCACTTGACCCTGGAGTGGTTACTGATCCTACTGTGCTTTGGAAGGTTGTGGATGTTTCACCAGGCACCATGGTTTGGGAAGTGGTGAAGGACCCTGTCGTGTGAGCTGTAGCAGAGCTGCTCTGGGAGGAGGAGGAAGCCTCGGTGGGGACCGTGGTTGGCGAGCTCTCCGAGGGCTGTGATGTTGGTGCTGACGATGGGCTGCTGGGGAAAGTGGTGGATTCTACAGTGAGAGTGGTGGACTGGGGGCTTGCAGGTGGCTCTGTGCTGAAGGCTGAACTTTGGCTGCTGGGGAAGGTTGTCGAATGATCCATGGGTGGTGTGGCTGTTGTTCTGGTTGTTGTTTGTGTTGGGCCTGCTGAAGCTGACGTTGTTGGGACAGTTGTAGACTCTGAAGTGACAACCGATGGTGGGGAGCTGGCACTCGACAATGGCATGCTGACTGATCCTGGAGTGCTTTGGATGGTTGTAGATGTTTCACCAGGCACCATGGTTTGGGAAGTGCTAAAGGACCCTGTCGTGTGCACTGTAGCAGAGCTGCTCTGGGCGGCTGAGGAAGCCGCGGTGAGGACGGTGCTCATTGAGCTCCCAGAGGGCTGTGATGTTGGTGCTGAGGACGGGCTGCTGGGGTAGGTGGTGGATTCCCCAGTGAGAGTGGTGGACTGGTGGGTGGCAGGTGATTCTGAGCCGAAGGTGGAGCTTGCGGTGCTGGGTCCAGCTGCAGAATGTTCCGTGGGTGCTGTGACTGTTGAGCTGATGGAGGTGAGTGTTGGGGGTGCAGAAGCTGAAGTGCTTTGGGAGGTTGTAGACTGCGACGTGACAACCGTGGATGGGGAGCTGTCACTTGACCCTGGAGTGGTTACTGATGCTGACGTGCTTTGGATGGTTGTAGATGTTACACCCGGCATGGTTGTTTGGGAGGTGTCAGTGGACCCAGTCGTGGGTGCTGTAGCAGGGCTGCTCTGGAAGGGTGAGGAAGCCTCGGTTTGGACCGTGCTCGGTGAGCTCTCCGAGGGCTGTGGTGTCGGTGTTGACGATGGCTTGCTGGGAGAGGTGGTGGATTCCACAGTGAGAGTGGTGGGCGGGGGTGGTGGCAGATGGCTGTGAGCCGGTGGTGGAGAGTGGGCTGCTGGGTCCGGCTGTAGAGGAATCAGTGAGTCCTGTGACTGTTGAGCTGATGGAGGTGAGTGTTGGAGGTGCTGAAGCTGAAGTGCTTTGGGAGGTTGTGAACTCCGACGTGACGACCGCGGATGGGGAGCTGTCACTTGACAGTGGTGTCGTTACTGATCCTACTGTGCTTTGGAAGGTTGTGGATGTTTCACCAGGCACCATGGTTTGGGAAGTGGTGAAGGACCCTGTCGTGTGAGCTGTAGCAGAGCTGCTCTGGGAGGAGGAGGAAGCCTCGGTGGGGACCGTGGTTGGCGAGCTCTCCGAGGGCTGTGATGTTGGTGCTGACGATGGGCTGCTGGGGAAAGTGGTGGATTCTACAGTGAGAGTGGTGGACTGGGGGCTTGCAGGTGGCTCTGTGCTGAAGGCTGAACTTTGGCTGCTGGGGAAGGTTGTCGAATGATCCATGGGTGGTGTGGCTGTTGTTCTGGTTGTTGTTTGTGTTGGGCCTGCTGAAGCTGACGTTGTTGGGACAGTTGTAGACTCTGAAGTGACAACCGATGGTGGGGAGCTGGCACTCGACAATGGCATGCTGACTGATCCTGGAGTGCTTTGGATGGTTGTAGATGTTTCACCAGGCACCATGGTTTGGGAAGTGCTAAAGGACCCTGTCGTGTGCACTGTAGCAGAGCTGCTCTGGGCGGCTGAGGAAGCCGCGGTGAGGACGGTGCTCATTGAGCTCCCAGAGGGCTGTGATGTTGGTGCTGAGGACGGGCTGCTGGGGTAGGTGGTGGATCCCCCAGTGAGAGTGGTGGACTGGTGGGTGGCAGGTGATTCCGAGCCAAAGGTGGAGCTTGCAGTGCTGGGTCCAGCTGTAGAATGTTCCGTGGGTGCTGTGACTGTTGAGCTGATGGAGGTGAGTGTTGGGGGTGCGGAAGCTGAAGTGCTTTGGGAGGTTGTAGACTGCGACGTGACGACCGTGGATGGGGAGCTGTCACTTGACCCTGGAGTGGTTACTGATGCTGACGTGCTTTGGATGGTTGTAGATGTTACACCCGGCATGGTTGTTTGGGAGGTGTCAGTGGACCCAGTCGTGGGTGCTGTAGCAGGGCTGCTCTGGAAGGGTGAGGAAGCCTCGGTGAGGACCGTGCTTGGTGAGCTCTCGAGGGCTGTGGTGTCGGTGTTGACGATGGCTTGCTGGGAGAGGTGGTGGATTCCACAGTGAGAGTGGTGGGCGGGGTGGTGGCAGATGGCTGTGAGCCGGTGGTGGAGAGTGGGCTGCTGGGTCCGGCTGTAGAGGAATCAGTGAGTCCTGTGACTGTTGAGCTGATGGAGGTGAGTGTTGGAGGTGCTGAAGCTGAAGTGCTTTGGGAGGTTGTGAACTCCGATGTGACGACCGTGGATGGGGAGCTGTCACTTGACCCTGGAGTGGTTACTGATCCTACTGTGCTTTGGAAGGTTGTGGATGTTTCACCAGGCACCATGGTTTGGGAAGTGGTGAAGGACCCTGTCGTGTGAGCTGTAGCAGAGCTGCTCTGGGAGGAGGAGGAAGCCTCGGTGGGGACCGTGGTTGGCGAGCTCTCCGAGGGCTGTGATGTTGGTGCTGACGATGGGCTGCTGGGGAAAGTGGTGGATTCTACAGTGAGAGTGGTGGACTGGGGGCTTGCAGGTGGCTCTGTGCTGAAGGCTGAACTTTGGCTGCTGGGGAAGGTTGTCGAATGATCCATGGGTGGTGTGGCTGTTGTTCTGGTTGTTGTTTGTGTTGGGCCTGCTGAAGCTGACGTTGTTGGGACAGTTGTAGACTCTGAAGTGACAACCGATGGTGGGGAGCTGGCACTCGACAATGGCATGCTGACTGATCCTGGAGTGCTTTGGATGGTAGTGGATGTTTCACCAGGCACCATGGTTTGGGAAGTGCTGAAGGACCCGGTCGTGTGCACTGTAGCAGAGCTGCTCTGGGCGGCTGAGGAAGCCGCGGTGAGGACGGTGCTCATTGAGCTCCCAGAGGGCTGTGATGTGGTGCTGAGGACGGGCTGCTGGGGTAGGTGGTGGATTCCCCAGTGAGAGTGGTGGACTGGTGGGTGGCTGGTGATTCCGAGCCGAAGGTGGAGCTTGCGGTGCTGGGTCCAGCTGTAGAATGTTCTGTGGGTGCTGTGACTGTTGAGCTGATGGAGGTGAGTATTGGAGGTAAAGAAGCTGAAGTGCTTTGGGAGGTTGTGAACTCCGACGTGACGACCGTGGATGGGGAGCTGTCACTTGACCCTGGAGTGGTTACTGATGCTGACGTGCTTTGGATGGTTGTAGATGTTACACCCGGCATGGTGTTTGGGAGGTGTCAGTGGACCCAGTCGTGGGTGCTGTAGCAGGGCTGCTCTGGAAGGGTGAGGAAGCCTCGGTGAGGACCGTGCTCGGTGAGCTCTCCGAGGGCTGTGGTGTCGGTGTTGACGATGGCTTGCTGGGAGAGGTGGTGGATTCCACAGTGAGAGTGGTGGGCGGGGTGGTGGCAGATGGCTGTGAGCCGGTGGTGGAGAGTGGGCTGCTGGGTCCAGCTGTAGAGGAATCAGTGAGTCCTGTGACTGTTGAGCTGATGGAGGTGAGTGTTGGAGGTGCTGAAGCTGAAGTGCTTTGGGAGGTTGTGAACTCCGATGTGACGACCGTGGATGGGGTGCTGTCACTTGACCCTGGAGTGGTTACTGATCCTACTGTGCTTTGGAAGGTTGTGGATGTTTCACCAGGCACCATGGTTTGGGAAGTGGTGAAGGACCCTGTCGTGTGAGCTGTAGCAGAGCTGCTCTGGGAGGAGGAGGAAGCCTCGGTGGGGACCGTGGTTGGCGAGCTCTCCGAGGGCTGTGATGTTGGTGCTGACGATGGGCTGCTGGGGAAAGTGGTGGATTCTACAGTGAGAGTGGTGGACTGGGGCTTGCAGGTGGCTCTGTGCTGAAGGCTGAACTTTGGCTGCTGGGGAAGGTTGTCGAATGATCCATGGGTGGTGTGGCTGTTGTTCTGGTTGTTGTTTGTGTTGGGCCTGCTGAAGCTGACGTTGTTGGGACAGTTGTAGACTCTGAAGTGACAACCGATGGTGGGGAGCTGGCACTCGACAATGGCATGCTGACTGATCCTGGAGTGCTTTGGATGGTTGTAGATGTTTCACCAGGCACCATGGTTTGGGAAGTGCTAAAGGACCCTGTCGTGTGCACTGTAGCAGAGCTGCTCTGGGCGGCTGAGGAAGCCGCGGTGAGGACGGTGCTCATTGAGCTCCCAGAGGGCTGTGATGTTGGTGCTGAGGACGGGCTGCTGGGGTAGGTGGTGGATTCCCCAGTGAGAGTGGTGGACTGGTGGGTGGCAGGTGATTCCGAGCCAAAGGTGGAGCTTGCGGTGCTGGGTCCAGCTGTAGAATGTTCCGTGGGTGCTGTGACTGTTGAGCTGATGGAGGTGAGTGTTGGGGGTGCGGAAGCTGAAGTGCTTTGGGAGGTTGTAGACTGCGACGTGACGACCGTGGATGGGGAGCTGTCACTTGACCCTGGAGTGGTTACTGATGCTGACGTGCTTTGGATGGTTGTAGATGTTACACCCGGCATGGTTGTTTGGGAGGTGTCAGTGGACCCAGTCGTGGGTGCTGTAGCAGGGCTGCTCTGGAAGGGTGAGGAAGCCTCGGTTTGGACCGTGCTCGGTGAGCTCTCCGAGGGCTGTGGTGTCGGTGTTGACGATGGCTTGCTGGGAGAGGTGGTGGATTCCACAGTGAGAGTGGTGGGCGGGGTGGTGGCAGATGGCTGTGAGCCGGTGGTGGAGAGTGGCTGCTGGGTCCGGCTGTAGAGGAATCAGTGAGTCCTGTGACTGTTGAGCTGATGGAGGTGAGTGTTGGAGGTGCTGAAGCTGAAGTGCTTTGGGAGGTTGCGAACTCCGACGTGACGACCG